TTTTAAAAACATGTTTACTAAATTTTCTGCAAAACTAAATATCTTAAAAAATTAGTTTATTTTAATGAAAAACATGTTTACTAAAATTTATTCAAGGTTGCCCCACCACTTATTGAACCGAATTTAAATAATTACAAGCTAACCAAACACTCTAATCTTCTCTCTTGTCTTTCGTAGAAACAAATTATAAGGGGCATGAAACAATAAAATCAATCAACAAAATATCACAATTAAATCTCAATATAGCCCAGTAAATTATCACAAACTCAAACCAATCTAGTCAGCTAATATGAATTTTAAGTTCAAAATTAACATTATTAACCTCAATAGCTTCCTTTACACAATGAAATAGCAAATGAGATAGAGAAATACCTCAAAAATCATAAAGCAATAGTGTGAGGCTGCTCTTGATAAAAGAGAGGATGAGATAGTGGCAACTTCAAGGGTAGATGGCAGACCAGGAGGATAGAGGGCTGGTCGACAGTGAGAGCAAGAATAATGTAGCTCAGCTGCTCTCAAGAAGAGAAATAGGAAGAGTAAGAGGAAGAGCAAGACAAAGAGGACCTCGTGAGGAAGAGGAAGAGGAAGAGGGTTTGGCCAAAAATGGGTCTTAGAGGAAGAGGAAAATGGAGGAAATAGGTGGCAGCTATGACTGATGCTTAAAGGAAATGATTAAAAATGGCTCTCTGACTCTCTTTGCTTGTGATTGTGACTGATGCTCAGAGGAAATAAGTGTTGGCTGGATATAGATCTTGGAAGAAATGGGTTTACTTTGCTCTCGTCTCACTCCCGCATGTGTCCCTATGTGTTTGCTCACTGAGGAAGAAAGGGGTAATTAAAAGAATATATTCAACAGTTAGTAAATCTAATCGTTGAATATAATATACTTAACGATTACAATGAAATAACCATTGAGTATTGAATATTAATACTTAGCGGTTATTTCATATAACTGTTGGGTAATTTAAAACAAAATTAATAAAAAAATTAATTTTTAAATAATATATATAGTCGAATAATATATATATATATATATTATTTTGCTCAAAAAATTATATATATTTGAATAATATATATTTTCAAAAAAATATATATTCAAATATAATATGTATATATATATAATTTTGTTAAAAAATATAAATTCAAATAATATATATATATATATATATATAATATTATTTTTTTATATATATAACATTTAAATCTAGATAAATGTTGAGTATCAAGATATTAAAAAAATAAAAATTAATTGATTCAAATAGTATATATATTCAACTGCTTTAATTTTAGTAACTGTTTAATATTTAAATCAATACTCAATAGTTTTTAAATTTTAACTATTGAGTAAGAGTTTAAGTTTAATTTATTTATATACTCAACGGTTATATTAATAAACCGTTGAATATTATTACACAATATTAAATAATTTTTAAAATAACCATTTAATATGTAATTTTAACTTTTTCACCTCCCAATATATAACATTTTTAATGTTAAAAAATATAAACTCAAATAATATATATAATATATTATTTTTTCATATATATAACATTTAAATCTAGATAAATGTTGAATATCAAGATATTAAAAAAATAAAAATTAATTGATTCAAATAGTATATATATTCAACTGCTTTAATTTTAGTAACTGTTTAGTATTTAAATCAATACTCACTAGTTTTTAAATTTTAACTGTTGAGTAAGAGTTTAAGTTTAATTTGTTTATATACTCAACGGTTATATTAATAAATTGTTAAATATTATTACACAATATTAAATACTTTTTAAAATAACCATTTAATATGTAATTTTAACTTTTCCACCTCCCAATATATAACATTTTTAATTATAATTATTAAATAAATACTGTTATATATCTTAATTTTTATAGTAGTGAAATAAACAACTTTTTTAGAATAATAAAAAGAAGAGTCATTTTGAAAAAGAAAATAAGAAAAATACCACCTCAGAATTGTTGTAGCTTTTTAATAATATGAAAAAGCTTTATAATTCTTCTGAAATATCATTGCATCTCCCTGAAAACCTTACTCAAAATAAGATTAGGAAGAAAAGACATGTTTACCCCTATTAAGTGGACAAAAAAAAACACAACCAAACAAATGTCCACTTGTTATTAATGTATGATTAGTTGTTAATACTTAAATGATTCCTTATTTATTTAGTACTAATATTTATACAATTAAACATGTTTTCATTGTAAATAAATAACTATTTTGGCATTGACAAGTAATATGAGTAACGAGCACCCACTTTTTAATGAACAACTTAGAAAAAACTTTTAAGACATGTTTAACTATTCAAGTGTTAGTCCTAAATAAACAAGCAATCATTTAAATTTTGATAAGTATCTATGCATAAGTAACAAGCATCCATTTATTCATGAACAACTTAAAAAACTGATAGGATAGGTAATAACTATACAAGTGTATGTTGTTCTTAAATAAACAATCAATCTTCTAAATATTGACAAGTAACCATATATTAGTAATAAGTAGACATTTGTTTAGTTATATTTTCTCGTTCTACTCTATTTGTTGTTCACTTAAACAGGATAATCAAGTCTTTTTTTCCCTTAAATCTTATTTTCATGTAAGTCTCAAAAGGTGTAGTAATATTTTAGAATTATAGGGTTCTTATTTGCTATTAAAAAGCTATATGGATTATTAAGTGATATTTGCCAAATAATTTTGATGAGGAGAGTCACCAATAACAACGTTGTGCACTACTTCCTCAATCTTAAATTATAAGATAATTTGAAGGTATTTTATTGTTTTAAAATATAAGATAATTTAAAAAAATTAAAATTTCATTAATGATATTTTTTTAATATTATCTTTCAAGTGGAGAGAAAATAAAAATGATATTGTAGTGTAATGATTAAATTTTTAGGAGTATTTTAAAAATTTATAATTTTATTTTGAAAAACTAAGCTTGTAAAGTATCAATGTTAAGCTTTATTAATACGCATAATTTTATTTTAAATTATTTTATAATTTGGAATGCCGAGAATATTTTTTAACCATTGAAACATGCATGGGAGAAAATTTTTGCAAAATCCAATTCAGATTTTTTTTTCATGATTAGGTATGAGAATTCCTTTTTAGAAATACCCACTTTCACGCACAATTCGTTCGAAAATCTATAAATACTTATATGGTATGAAATTTATAGAAAGCAATATTTTTATAGAAATATTTTTTATACCTCATTCTATATACTTAAAGTAAATCAAAATATATGTATTTTTTATATATTTTTTATTCTATAACAAACTCTTCATATTAATATTATTGACAATTTAAAGCGCACTTGTTATGATTTGATTGAGAAAAAATATATTAAACATATAAAACTGAATACTTAAATATTTTTCTGTGGCAAAAAAAAAAAAGTAACAGCCTTTCTCTTTTTATAAGCAATGAAACATGAATAGAGTAACTTACCATATAAAGCATATAAGTCATAATTTAATTACGTTTAATCAACTTATATATATATATATACACACACATAGAAAGAGAGAAAATCAGTGCATGTGCTAAGAAAAATAAGTAAATTGTAAGTTCATATACATTATCAGTAATTCAGTAATATTCCTTGAATGCTCAAAAGCCGCTTTGAGATTAAAATTTTCAAAGGACAAATTTGGTTTATGGGCCTCTAGATGTCATTTTCCCCTAAGAAAGGGTGACCCTGCATAAATGATTGTCCCACGCAATGCGGAAAGGTTGATTTTCATTTAAAAAAAAATCAGTTCCAAATTAAATAATATGAAATTATATCCTTTTTTTTTTTATAGAATGAATTTATATCCTTTCATCCCAAATGAGATCAGAATTAGAAATATTAAACGGACGGATCTAGAGGTCGGCACCCACAAATATTTATCACTTTGTAAATGTTCGAAGTAATGTTTTAAAAATTAATTATAAAAAAATTCGTAGTTAAATCTTGCTCTTCTGAAGAAAATTTGGCCCCAAAAATATTCCTAGATCAATCATTTGGATGGAATAAAATCCTTGAAAACCTAATTAATAAACCATGCAGTTAAGAAAACGACAAAAAATGCATGAAAAAAAAATTCATTACTTTCTCTGCTCTTGACTTCTTATAATTTGATTTTGATAATTATTTTTATAATTTTTAAAAATTTAAACATTACTATTATTTATTGTTATTACTTTTGTCCTGATTCACATTCTGGAAGATTATGTATCCGTTTGGATAGCATTTTAATTGATTATTTGAGGCAAAAAATTAATTTTTACCAAAACTATTCAAACATCCAAAAAAAGAGGTAATAGATTTTTGGGTAAAAAATTTATTTTTTTTTGAAGTTGAGAAGCTGAGCGTTCTAGTAGAAGCTAGCCAAAAACGTTGGGGAAAATGACAAAGAAAGGCCCAGGTAAAAAATACAAATAAAGCACAAAATTTAATAAAATAAAAAACAAACTCTCTTCTTTCTCTTCTCTCTTTTTTTTCCTTAATAAAATTCAAATTTTGTATCCTCAAAAAATTAATATTTAGTATTTAAGAATTAAATTATATAATAATTTATATAGTTAAAATTGATTTTGATTAAATTATTCAAACATCTTCAATTCTATTAAAATTAATTTTAAAAAAACAGTATCCAAATATATTACATTATAATATAATTAATTATAATTAAAATTTATCACTTAATTAATTATTTTCATAACCTATTATATCTAATTAAAATACAAATAGACCTTAGATAAAGTTATTCAGACTGGACCCAGTCCGATATGATTTTTTATAGCTATAACAAAATATTATTTAAATATAGTGATAAGTGATAATATTTTTTTATATATATTTATTAAACCAAATGGCTAAAGCACCGCCGGTTTTTAAACCTATGACAAAACAGGGTTAAACTATAGATTTGTATTTTCATTTATATTTATTAAGCCAAATGGCTAAGGCAAAGTGCTGTACGTTCTCGAACATTCTAGCACGCGTACTCTCTGATTACGTGTCTGGGCACGAGGGTGCTCCGTCGATGAAGCCAAGTATTTTAGCTCTATAAATTAAGCACCACGATTCTCTTTTCCCATCACTTTTTCATCCGAACGTACTGGTGAAGCAATCAGGTCGTCTATACTCTTTCAAGGTACAACGTGTAGCCTAGGCTTTTTCCTGTTCTGTTCAAGGCCTTCCGTTTTAGTTTTATGTTTTGATATCCCTTCATTCTTTCGTAATTTCTTGATTTCTTGGTTGCTGAACAACGTATATAGTGTTTCTTTCGTGGATTCGCTGATATATTTTATGTTTCCCTCATTTGATTTGTTGTGCTTGTTGTTTTATTGTGAATTTAAATCATAGGATTTACTTCTGAGCAAGGATTTCGTCGAGGCCCCTAGGTCGATTTAGGGCTTTTGTCGTCTTTCATTATCTTGTTGGTTTTTATCTGTTTGGGATTATTCAAAGTTGATCGGAGTTATTAGGGTTTGTTGCTATACGTTCGCGCTGAAATTCTTTGACTTCTGGGTTTCTGGATTTTGTTTTCCTTCGTTGTGGTTTCTGTGTTACCGAATTGCGATCATGATTTGCTTCAAGTTAATAACTATTTCGTATCGTAAAGAGCTGTGTTTAGCTATTATTGATTTAAGTACTAGTTGATATGTTCTTGAAATTGGTTGCCTATTTTAATCGAATTTGAATTGTAAACTTATGGCTCTGTCAGATTCTTAATTTGTTCAGTGTTCATTTTACGTCTCGGTAATAGAAAACTCTTGAGTATTCTGTAGAGTTTGGCTTTGTCCCTAAAGTTCTTATTCTTATATCAGCGTTATGATTTTCATAATAATATTTGTTTTATTGGGATTTTGAGATCATCTTGTTGATTGTTTGCTGCATTTTATGTCAGATGCAAATCTTCGTGAAAACCCTCACAGGCAAGACCATCACCCTTGAAGTTGAAAGTTCCGATACCATAGATAATGTGAAGACAAAGATCCAAGACAAAGAAGGAATCCCGCCTGATCAGCAGCGTCTCATATTCGCTGGAAAGCAGCTTGAGGATGGGCGAACTTTAGCTGACTATAATATCCAGAAGGAGTCTACACTCCACCTTGTTCTTCGGCTTCGTGGGGGTATGCAAATTTTTGTAAAAACCCTTACAGGAAAGACCATTACCCTTGAGGTTGAGAGTTCAGACACCATTGACAATGTCAAGGCCAAGATTCAGGACAAGGAAGGCATTCCTCCGGACCAACAAAGGCTTATTTTTGCTGGTAAGCAGCTTGAAGATGGCCGAACCCTTGCTGACTATAATATTCAGAAGGAGTCTACGCTTCACCTGGTGTTGAGACTCCGTGGTGGGATGCAAATCTTTGTGAAGACCCTCACTGGTAAAACTATCACTTTGGAAGTTGAGAGCTCAGACACTATTGACAATGTTAAGACTAAGATTCAAGACAAAGAGGGAATCCCGCCTGATCAGCAAAGGTTGATATTTGCCGGAAAACAGTTGGAGGATGGAAGGACATTGGCAGATTACAACATTCAGAAGGAATCTACTCTTCACCTTGTGTTGCGTCTCCGTGGTGGGATGCAGATCTTTGTAAAAACCCTCACAGGTAAAACCATCACCTTGGAAGTCGAGAGCTCCGACACTATTGACAATGTAAAGGCAAAGATTCAAGACAAAGAGGGAATCCCACCTGATCAGCAAAGATTGATATTTGCTGGGAAACAGTTGGAGGATGGAAGGACACTGGCGGATTACAATATTCAGAAAGAATCCACTCTTCACCTGGTGCTGCGTCTCCGTGGTGGAATGCAAATCTTTGTGAAGACCCTCACCGGTAAAACAATCACTCTGGAAGTTGAGAGTTCAGACACTATCGACAATGTGAAGGCTAAAATCCAGGACAAAGAAGGGATCCCACCCGATCAGCAGAGGCTGATATTTGCAGGAAAGCAGCTGGAGGACGGCAGGACTCTGGCTGATTATAATATTCAAAAGGAGTCTACCCTTCACCTTGTTCTGCGTCTCCGCGGTGGCTTTTAGAGTTTGGCATTTCCAATTCCTTTTTGATGTTAATCTACGTACTACTACTGTGTGCTGTTTGGTCCTGTTAATGTTCATGTGAACAATTTCGGTAGGAAAGAATAAAAGCTTCATGAGCGTTTTATGCGTTCTGTTTGTTCTTGGGATGTCTATTGCGTTATTGCGTTATTATTGCAAGAAACATCTTTGTCGTAATCGCTGAAATCTGCATTGGGCATGGTATGCTATTATTGGCATCCGTGATTATATTTCTAGTTGTGAAATCTTATTTATATTATGAGTCCCTGGCTTAGTGCTGCTACCTTGATGCATTCGCTTCTGCAATAATGGTTCGCAAATCACAACACAGAATGAAATCGAGATTGATCGTGATTGTTTTCATTTAAAGGGGAAAAAATGTAGCTTTTGGTTTTTGTTAGGGGTGTTCAATATGGACCGTCTTGATTGATTTGGTATTGTTTCGATCATATTAAAACGGGTCTTGTTTCAGTCTGAAAATAATTGGAACGGGACAGGAAAGGAGTTCGAGACGGGATACGGGATTATCATCGGGACGTCCCGTCCCATCTTGAATGTTATATATATTATTTTTTATTTTAAATATATTAATTATATTAATATAATTTATATTTATATTAATTATATCAATTATAATTTTAATACTTACAATTTTTATTTAAAATTAAAGTTTTTTTATATTGATAATTTTAATAGTATGGAGTAAACATGGCGATATTTTTTTATAATATATTATATTAATATAATTTATTTTTATATTTATTTATTTAATAACTTTTATTTATAACATATTTTTTACTTATTTTTAGAAGAGTAATTAACTTAGTACATCTTTACTAAAATAGAAGAATAATTATTTGATGTTGTGTTTGACTTGCCTATTGTTGCTAATCTTATAGCATAAAGATCACTTGTATTTTTTATTATAATATGTAATTGTGATTAATATAATTCAATAATTAATTTTAAATTATTGTTATTTATGTACTTGTGTTATTTTGATTTTAAACTTAATAAATTATATAAATTAAAATTTTAATGAACATTATTATTCAGATTTTTTTTTAATATTATTTCATTTATCGGGACGGCGGGACGTCTTGATCTTGTCCCGGTCCCATCCCGACTCTTAACGGGATGGGACAACTTTTGGGACTGGATGGAACATAGGATCAAAATTCAATCTCGATTTTTTTTTCGGGACGGGGGTGTCCTGGTCCCGTCTTGTGAACACCCCTAGTTTTTGTATTTCGTTCACATTTTGTTTTTTATTTTTATTTTTTTTTGATATTTTAAGTTTTTTATATATTTGTTTTTGTTTTGTTTTTAATTTTTATATTTCTTTTTGATATTTTAAGTCTTTATGTATTTTTTTTTATTACGTTCAGTTCCTTTATAAATGAAGTATAAAAATCTTAAAGGAATTCAAAATAATAAAAAATAAAAATTTAAAAATTTAAAATATTGAAAAAAATTATAAAAACTTAAAAGCCAGCAAAATACAAACATTAAAAATTATGTTTTTTCATTTTAAAAAAATTGATAAAAAGGCATTTTATTTTAATTATTATAAAAGCACAGCAAAACAAGGGAAACATAAACAGATGGGAACGGTTAAATGCCAAACGGGTAGCCTAAATGAGAGCTTCGATGTTCCGTCAGTGTCAGTTACAGGTGAAGCTGGTGGCAATAAAGCCAGCAACTACATTCAAGCGCCCCGTCTTCTAAAGGGGAATTGGACAATAATAAATATAATCTATTATTATAACTTTAGAACGATAAATGAGTTCACGAAACAACGATGAAGTATGAGCATATGACAGATTTCGGTTCAAACTTGCTGGGGTAAATGATTTTTTATGGATATTTCTTACATTTCTCAGAATTATCTGCCTAGAATCAGACCAACGTTTGACATCTTAGCTATTGCCTAGAATCAAAATGCTGAAGATGGAGATCACTATAAACCAGGCTGGCCATAAAAAAAAAAAAAACAGAGAGAGAGAGAGAGGAAAAAAGAATCACTTTAAAGCAGACAATATGCCGAACACCCGGAAGCACAAAACTTCAATCCAATAACTTGTTTGTCATTACTTTGTTAACACTGCAGAAAAAATGAGTAGAAAATGACTCGTTAAACCTATGCAGATATCAATCAGCCCTTTACAATGGACGTTATGGGAAAAAAAGAGCGAGTGAATCAGTTTTCTACATGATATACAGAGGAGAAAAATGAAGATATTATCATCTGACTAAGATTGGATCAACTTCGAATTTTGTTGAAGACTCTATAAGTGACAATTTGGAAAAGAACCACGTTAGAAAAAACATCAACTATCTGGCGTGTCATAGGAATAGGCCTAGATATTAGGGCACTTCTATAGCACCTTCACAGAATTTCCATGTTCCATCATCTTGTCTCTTCAGCACATACTTAACTAGGTAGGTGCTGCAATCAAGAAAAACGGCGACAAAAAGAAACAGAAGGGCAAAATCCAATTAGAGGCACAAAAATTCAAGACATAATAAGAAACGTCCAGCCACAGACTTGGTGTTCAAGATTAATGTTTATCTGGGTATGGTATGATGCTCTTTCATCTTACCTATAGTAGTTAGGGTTATCTTCCTGAGAAGCATCAACAAGCTCGGCCGCTTCTTCTAAGAGGCTTTCAATCGTAGCCACTTCTGCTCCATTCCAATCTGATAAAATGTCAGCTCGCAGGACAGACACTTTAAGCAATATAATCCTCCAATAACAAGATCTTTCTCTTGCTGTATCAGCCAAAGCTTGCCACTGTCAAAGCTAGCAAAAATTAGTATCAACAATCAATTTTCTTCGCCCTTCCTTTCATTCATCTGTATCTCAGCCCTCTACTAAATGAAACAGAAATTTTAAGTATTTCCAAGCATTTTACACATTAGGCATGTCATCCGTTACAGACAAACAAGAAATCAGATGGATAATGAATACCACAAAAATGTAACAACAAAGTTGATCGTAACAAGGAGGGCCTAATCATTAAATAATAACACATTCAATAATGCTGAATATGAAAGGTAGCATCAATCAACTTCACAGTCAAAAGCACAACATGAATTACCTGAGCAAGCATGGATTCATCAAGAACTTGAGTTAGACTATGTACTAGATGGCTAGGTCCCAAAGCTTCAGCTTTGATAGTTTGCCATTGCTTAATTAGCGCTTCTGCTTCTTCGACAGGCATTGGCCTCTTGTGCATATTAAAATGGGGGGTTGGTGAGGTAGAAGCTGGCCATAAATCACGTTGATTTTCACCATCCGACAGATGCATAAACCTTATCATTGCTAGAAGTCTCTTTAGTCCGTCAGTAAATTTACTTTCCTTGACACAAGCAGAACCTACATTGTGGTCTACAGAAGAATCTGCAGTCCACACAATGTTACCACTGGCTCTAGTGGAAGCCCAACGAGAACTAGCTCTTTCCTTGCTTGAGTTCACTCCTAATACCTTGAAGGAAGCAAATACGATGCAACCTAGAACTGTAACATATGTTATTTTTCCAAATATGTGTGATGCATGAGTAGAGTAACTATCCCAAAACCCATTGCGATGATTGCCAAGGTTCCTTTTCAACTGGGCAGGTGCCTCGCTGAGGTTGCTTCCATTGTCCTTTTTGCCAGACAGCAGTGAACTCTGCAAATCAGTAGGAGTCAGCTGCTTAACAGCAAACCCTAGATGAGAAGAGGAGTTTGTATATGAATGAGGTTCTTCGAAGTCTCTGCGTTCTAAAGCTACAGAGGCGGAGAGAGGTCTATGACCTATTGTAGGCAAGGTTTCTGGACCTTCTTTATTTCTCTTGCTTCCAGAAGTTCTCTTTTCAGCATTAAAGAAATTGACCTGCAGAGATATACATCATCCATGAGGAGTCTTGTCAGAACCAAAGCTACTACGTTTTCTGTTGCCTGTGATGTGTGATCTCACCAGTGATGGAGAACAGTCTTGAGTATCTGGAAATGAAGCAAGCACATAACCCTTCAGCCACATTTCCTGGTCAAATTCAGCGTGCAGTGTCAGATTAGAAATACGAAAAACTAAAAGTTTATCACTAAAAGGTAAGAAATGGAGTAAAGGTCTTGAAGCATATAGCTCACCGTTATATCTTTCCTAGTGAAATAAAAACAATTGAACAATCCGAATGCAAGTGTAAATCAACTATGATTAGGAGTTTCATGCATCAAACATCCATACAGCATCAAATATATCCTCGATTGAGGCTAGACCCCACACAGAGAGAGAGACAAAAGGGGAGAGAGATACCAATGATAGATTAGTGGCAGACACATCTACTATAGCCTTCCTCGAGACTGAATTATTAGAATTTGAGTTCAGCTCTAGCTGCTTAAGTTGTTTAACCGCCTCAGCTTCTGTTCCCTAGAGATTAAAAGAACGTTATTAAACTTTTGTGCTGCAGATATTTAGGGAGAACGTGAAATTAAAGATAAAAGTAATCTGTGCTGGAAGTAAGATTCAAAGTGTTCAATTACGAAAAGAGAAGGGCTGCTTATCATTAGAATTAACAAGACACAGTACACCTTTTTTCTTTGCCAACAGAAACAACATTATATTTCAATAGACCTAATGTTTCAACAGAGCAACAAGACAATAAAGATAACAACAAAGTCCAGAAAGAAACCAACCACTAAGAACCAGACTCATCCAACTCCTCTTCCTCAGAAAAAATTACCTGACCAAGAAGGAAGAGGCAAAAAGCTTCTTCAAATTTCAAATCAATGCCTTCAGAAGCTGTTAAACATTCACATATATTTTTTGCTTCATTAATCTGCATGAAAATATTATAAATAATTAATTTACACCAAAACTAAGAAAACGGGAGGGTAAAAAGAATGCAAAATAATCACATACATATAATAGAAATTGTAAAAAAAGGGGGTAAATTACTTTATCCCATAAGGTTTGGGAAATCAATTTGTTCCCTTGCGGTGTAAAGTGTCTCATTCAACTCCCTTGTGGTTTTTAACAATTAACCACCATGGTATTTTCAATCTTAATATTTGAAGAAATGATCACATGAATGGTGAAAAATTACGTTTCATTGTTGGAAGTATGCTTCACTTACACCTTAAATAGTTTTACAGTCTTTTAAGGTTGATAATATATAAGGATGATATTTTGAAAACAAATTTGTCCACTGAATCCCAGCAATATCCCCAACACAATAAAAATGTCCTAGATAAAAGTGAAGAAGACATTTAACAATGAAGTAGTTCATTAGTTTACAATCACATGATTACTTTAGTTAAAACTTGAATTAAAAATACTACAGGGTGGTTAAGTGGCAATTGAACAAATCATAAGGCGCTGAATGGCACACTTTAAACAATAGAGAGCATACTGATTTTTGGCCAAGTTACAAGGGGTAAACTGTAATTCACCCGGGAGATTACTAACAAATGTATCCATGCTAGGATGGAGTAAAAGGGGAAGAGAAAGATATCTGAAGAAACATGAAGTTTCAGAAATGCATATTACCAAATCCTTTTGCTTGCTAGAAAATCCGAGTGCCACATGAGCTATAAAAGCCCTATAGAAACAGTTTGAATCAATTACAACCCTCTGGTTCTGTGATTCAAGTGTCTTCTTATTCTTCCTTGTTGCAGCTAAGTTATGCCAGGGAAGAAGATCAACCATCTCCATAGCCAGCAACCTGCTGAAGGCTTGGTTTAGGAATGAAGGCCAATCCTGAACTTGACACGAAGTTTCAACATCAAGACCCTGTCTAAGCAATTCACGCAAAGCTGCAATTGCTCCTTGTCTGCGGTGAGCATTTTCAGGGGTTTGTGGCATGCCCAGCAGTTCCAGGGTGCAAGCAGGTGCGAGCTCCTCAAGAGATTGTTCAATCTAGAGATTAAGCACAGAAGGGTTTAAAGAGGTAAAGACAACGGAGACCTTTACTAGCAATGAGAGGTGATGTGATTAAATGTTCATAATAATTACTCATAGATTTGTATTGATTTTATGCTCAAAATCATATACATAATGAATTAACTTCAAATATTAATATGAAGTATAAACATCTAACTAATGAATGGTTCGCAAGCACATTAGTACATATCAATTTATGTTCTAATTATATTTTATTTAACAATTAACAATTAAGATAACTAAATAATTTAGTGTTACATATTAAATCTTCTAGGATAAGAAAATAAGGTAATAATTATTTAATAATTTGCAACTTTCCACTGATTAATTCATAATGGTGATTAACATTGACATCATAATTTCTTATTTCTAGCTTTGAAATTTTTTATGGCGATGGATGGATATTCAAATCACACTCTTTTATCCGAACAAAACACCAAACAGCCCTGAACATATTATTATTCACAATCCTGATGATATTTTAAACCCATAATGTGGACAAGAAATGGAAGATCCATATAACAAAAAGAAAATTCTGCGACAAATATATTAACTTCAAATAAAATTAATGAACATTCTATCAGTGTTCGCATTATACATAGAAGCAAGTAGAGTATAGCAGAGAAGATTGACAATGATATGAGGGTAAAGATAATTAACAGCAATACAGTAGCATACAAATTTGAGAAGCACAGTAAAATGATGAATATATAATATATTAGGGATTCATGGAAGTGGCCCAAAGCATCAGGTATCAGACTCTCTTCTTGAATAGTTTTCAGCAAAATAACCCAACTTCAGTGTAAATATGCAATTTCTCTGCCAAGGAAATTATCCTTTTAGAAGTCAATGAATGTTCCACAGTTCCAGAAGCAAGAGCATGATGTCTTACAATTACATCAGAAGAGTCAACGATTGATTTCTTTTTCATCTTTTCTTGGGCATGGTGGTTAAAGCCAAGTCTTCGTCTTGTAATATAATCTTTATGTAGAACAACAAATCAACAGCTAAAAAATTTAAGCAAATAAATTTAACATAAAGAAGTGTCTTACCTGTGATAGCAGTGTCATTTTTGCCAGAGATGGTCTACTTCTTAGAAGACACTGAGCACGAGCAAGAGCTTCAAAACCTTGAGACACTTTGTTCTTCTCAAAGCCAATCTTTGCAATCGCACACTTCAAAAAAGCATATATGATTAGGAAGTGTGCATGACAATACGGCTATAAAATGCCAGAGCAAGTTCCCAACCTCCCTGTTGACATTGATTACCTCAGCTAGAGCCATAGAAAGAAGCAAATCATGTGCATATGGCTTGGCCTCTTGATGTTGGAGACTTACACGTCCAATGTCAAGCACAAGCTTTGATTCTCCAACCTGTATTGAAATAACAGAAAAACTAGCAGTCAAAAATCTTCAGATGGAAAAATTAGTGCACATGAAACATATTTAAGAACTGGACAAACTTGAACATATGTCATGTCTACCTCTTGAAGAAGGCAAAGAGCACCGGGAAACCAAGACCAAGGAATACGTAGCGAAGCTTTAGGGGGGATCTTTTCTTTCAGATTTCCAGCATATTCTGGTTCAAAAAGAAGCTTATCCCTAACATCCATAAGAAGATCCTGCAAATCAATTATAATAGCGTAAGAAGAAAAACAACACAGATGACTTCATACATGAGATTTAAAACTAAAATAGTGCAAAAGAAAAAAAAAAGAAAAAGATCACAAAATATAATTAACATTTATTTATCTACCTGGCGAGATACAACAACATCCATGGTGTAACCTTCTTCAATTTCTGATTTTTTCAAAGCCATAACTGACTTAACAATTTCATCTTTCTCAGCTTTATCAGGAACTCCAATTAGCTGCAACATAATATGAAGCAAGTCGAGTAAGAAACGTCTGAAGAGGAAGAAAGGATTGGCATGAATGGGCATTACAAGGTGGAGATTTGAATATTTAACAAATGCTTTAATTTAACGTTTAAACTTCAAATTTAAACTTGAAATCATACAACTCAACACAGCTATGGAAACCAATCATCCCCTGTACCCAACCCACAATCAATTTTACCATAAATGCAGATAACCATTACAGGGCCTGCAAATCCAATTTGAACAGCGGAATTAGGAACAAGATGAAAAGTCAAGAGATGCCAATGTGCGAAGAAGTATATTCTATTGTCATATTCTCTTACTCAACGAAGATATCTTTGTAGGTCCTGTGTCCAATAAAATCGGAAACTAACTTTCCAAGAAAGATTCCACGCAGGTGAACATGGCATTGGAAGAGGGAATACGATCCTAGTATGAGAACGTTACATAGTATTTACTATTACCATGAAATCGAAACTTCAAAGGTGCAATAACATGTTTGCGACTGCTTAGAGCGTAACAAGTCTTAAACTGGTTAGACAGAAACCGGGTAAGCCTTCTGTTTGCAATAAGTTAAGAATGAAGAAAACCAGAATTACCAAATAGGGGCTCCAAAATATGACTGAGCTAACTTCGTAATTTTATAAGAAAACGGGTCCATCATGAAAACAGAACCGTAAACACAAATAACAGAAAGAGGTTTATCACCTGGTAGCAGGAAACTGGGATTTCAATCGTGGATTTCGTCTGAATATTATCAACAATGCGAGTATCAACTGCATTCGTTCTCCTCTTCCCACTCGAGATATCAGTCCTCTTCGCATGGGACCCTACACAAAAAGTGGAACTGCAAAACCCAGAGCCAGGTTCTGCAGGGAAGCCCGAAAGAAAGACCTTGTGATCTTCTTGGCATCTGATATTACAATTGAATCGAGAAATGCAATACGAAGAGGGAGAAATCAGTGCAGCATTAGCAACAGCCATGAGCTCTCATCCCAGAACCAAAACCCTAAAGTAGCACTAGTAGCGATCAGCTTGAGTGTCGCTTTTTCGTTAATTGGGGTTCCCAGAAAAGCTTCATTGGCGAAATTTTGTGAACTTCTGATTTAGCAACCATAGAAGCTAGCGTAGACTGTGGATGAGAAGAACGACATAATCAAGGCAGAGATCGATCTAGTGAAGAAGCTCCAGGGGAATTATTAGTTATTACATGGGATTACATAGAACTATTTGATTAGCGGGGTTTGTTCTTTGCAGATTATACTCCAAAGGAGTTAGATACCGTTTTCTATGTTGGCTACTGAAAAAGAAAAAACCGTTTGCTAAAATATATTTTTTTAAATGGCTGAAAGCAAAAATCAACATTATATCATAAATAATTACTATTTCTATTTCCTTCATATTGTAAATGTAAATATGCCAATACAAAATTTAATGAATGATCTTAAAAATGAAACTATTTAAAATGTCTGAAAATATTAACTATGTCCAAAATGTAAGTTTATGACAAGAAAACTACTAAAAGTTTAGAAAATATTGACGATAATTTTTATAATACAATACTCTTGGAAGTTTTTTTTTTTATTTTAATGTTTCAAAGACTAAGTTGCTAATATTGAAAAGTTTGAGTTGTAACTTTTTTTTATATAAAAATTATTTGATTTATAGAGAGAGAGAGAAAAAAAAAAGAAGAGTTAAGCTTTTTCCTTAAATCTTGAAAAAACATGTAATTTTTTTAATGTGTATTATATTATTATTTATTTACGGGATAGTGAACATGTTACCAGTATTATTTTCTAATAAAGACAAAATATTTTTTGTCAAATCTGTTGATTTCTTCAATTTTGATTTTATTTATGGTTAAATGGTATTAAAATGTAATGAATATTGAAAAAAGAAAAACAAAGATTAATGAGCATCGTAAACTATAAACTATTGTGTGAATAATATCATGGTTTCTAAACTTTTAAAATGTGTGAAAAATCATCTCAACTTTTAAATTTTGAGTGTCTGAATTATCGCCATTAAGTTAAAAAAATGGCTGTTATTTTTGTAATTGTAGGACCTAGTTATATGCTGATATAACATTCATCTTAATCTTTAAAAATTTTTATCAACTCAACAGCAAGGTTTTAAGCACTTGAAATTTAAAAGTTGATAAATTTTTTTATATATTTTAAAAATTTAAGGTTCAATATGCTATACGCAGTAGTAGTTTAAAGTTTAAGATATTCATTAACTGAAAAAATAAAATAAAGATAACTTTTGCATTCAATTCACTAGTTGACTTTTTCTTTTGACCTGAAGTTCATTACTTGACTTGAAACACATAGTAACTTCCAACAATAATAATTATATATATATTAATTATAGAGTGTAATATATCACATCTTATAAATTTATTTATTTTTAATCTGAGTAACAGATATGTAATAATTTTAAAATATAGTAATTATATATATATATATATATATTAATTATGGAGTGTAATATATCACATCTTATAAATTTACTTATTTTTAATCTGAGAAACCGATAATAAATATATTAATTAAATAAGATAAGAAGTGGATTAGGACATAAGAAATTTATAAGACTTACAATAAGTTATAAGGTAACATTTATAGAGTTGATTAGAAGGCATGTTAGTTTAGGGAACAAGATGGTAAGTGATGGGGTAAAATTTTACAAAAACAAGCTGGTTTAGGGAATAAATTACTAAGTGGTAAGATAAGAATGATCCGAAGATATGTTGTTTTGTGTTTCTATAAACAAAATCACATAAATTAATAAGTATTTATTGTAATTTTTATAAATTGTCTCTTATAAACTCATAATTTTATTTACAAGAAACCATTAATGTAGCCTTATTTTGATTAAATACAAGAGTATTTGAGTCTAATTTTTTTAATTTATAAATACAATTATTATAGTTAATCAAAATTTTTTGTTGGTAACAAAAATAGTTAACCAATTTTTTTAAATTATATAATATAGTTATTTCTCTTGTGCATGAAAATGGAGGAAGTAAGTTAGCGAGTAATAAAATAAAGATGATAAGAAGACTTGGGGAATAAGTCAGTGAGTGATAAAATGAAATTTATGAACAGACTAGATTAATCCTTATCTTAGAATTTAAAACCTTTTTACTTTTTATACAAATAGTTATCTACCTTTAGTTATTATAAGTGGACAAAAGAAAATTGTAGTATGAACTATTAGGTAATTCAATATTTAAAAAGGTTTGACAATATCTTTCTAATATCTCCTATACCTATTTTTACTATGTTTTTTAAGGGTACTTATTTGTTATGGTTTTATGGTGCTCAGTGATAATGTGATGTTGTTCCACATTTTTTTTGTTTCTTTTTTTCCTTTCTAAAACCAATTATTATAATAATAAAAAATAAATATTATAAAATTATTATTATTATATTAAATAAATAAATTTAAATTTTGAAATTTAAATTGAATAGTTCAAATATAAATTTAACCTGAACATTTCATAACTATATTGAAAAAATTAACATTATAGTTAAAAATATTTTATAAAATATTTTTTAAATTTTATTGATGGTGCACAAGTGTCCATTTATTAAAAATAATTTTTTTTCTAAACACGATTAAATACTAAATATAGAAAACACTTTTAACAAGAATTCAAACATTGTTTGCCACATTAAGAGCAGCCAGCTCATTTTGTTAGACTTAATCCATGCTTTAAATTGCTCAGTAATTTTTTTTCTAGCTTTTCAGTGTAGTTCTAAACTATTCTTGTCAAATTTTATATATGAATTGTTGAGGTCAAAATTCAACAAATTAAATTTATTTATTAATATAATAAAAATAACTTTATAATGTTTATTTATTATTAGAATAATATTTTGATTTTAGAAGGAAAAAAGAATGAAAAAAACTCATAAAACGATGTTGTAGTTTGCTCATACTACGCACGACAGTGCTAATCTTAGGATGAATATTGAAATCGAATTCATCTATTACTACTAGTTCCTATTATACTTACTCATGTATGTTTTCTTTTTATATCAACGCGTGAGATACACACAACTCTGACAATGCTCATCTTTATTCATAATTGCATTGATAGAAATTTCTTCTAATGCACCTGCACAAACACACATACATTTGTTAAATCATTCTACTTTTATTTAAAATATCAGTTCTCTTTAATAATTATAATTTCAAGGAATTTGAAATTTAAGGAAACATTTAATTCTTTGAATTGATTTTTTTATATAGAAATGTCACCTTTAATATATATTTTAAAATTTTTATCCAATTAAATTTTATGGTCAAATTTATAGCATAACTTTCAAATGAATACATTTTTTAATTATTAACTTTTTTTATTCCTCAATTATCAATATAAGTAAGGGCTCATTGATCTATACTATGTTGGCTATACTTGAAATGACTTTGTTCTTTTTGATCCTCACAAGGGCACTAACACAACCTCTAACTAGTAGAAGAATCAGAACAATCATTAAACTCACATTTGATACAACTTATATACTTTTATGTAGCTATTATGGTCTTGTTACACCACAATCTATAGTAAAATAATAAATATCATTACCAAGTGGCAAATATTATAATGGTTTATGGAGCATTTTAAACTATCAATGGTGCAACATCGCCTTAGTTTGACATACATTTAGCACAAATGGCATTTATGATGAATAGGTATTTTTTTCAAGTAAATCATAGGGAGAAAAATCTTAAACCATTTTAAAATACTTATGATAGCTTGTTGGAAGTCAATAGATAAGGTTATACTATTAATATTTATTTTGTTATGGAGTTGTGGAAAACTATTGTTGGGGAACTAATAAAAATTTGGATAATATTTTACATTAGGTCGTGGCCTTCTTTTGCAAGGCTATGAACTGTATTGGAGAGTTGTAGATGATGAATAATGATTGGATGAGAAAGATGAATTATGAGTTGGCACCCTGTAAGGATAGGGGCAATATTAAAGAACTTGTACATTTCTAGAAAATATTAGTTGTATTAATTTCTCATGAAGTGTTTGGGGAAGGTATGTTTAGTTATCAATATAATTTTGTAGGAGAAAGTGTGTTGACCCCATTGAATTGGTTGACAAAGTTGGCAAATGTGGAGGAAGAGGATCAAAAAAAGAACAAATGGTTGAGAATAGAATTGCCATATTAGTATACCTTCTCAAAAAGAAACTTCTCTGGTAGCTCTTCTCCTTCCACTCTGAAATTTGTTCTTCCTTGTAGCAGCCAGAGGAGTAGGAGTCATTGCATCTCCCCTCTGTGGTCTCTCAGAGTTCAAGCATTGGGAAAGTTGAGCCTATTTGTGTCAAGCACATATATTTTCCTTTCTCATTTCACATCAATTGGTATAAGAGCTTGGTATCATGCTTGTTTTACATTGCACATTTAATGACTAGTATTTCTTGAATATTATCAAAGCTCAGATATAATTTTTAGATAGATTATTTTATTTTTTTTTAAATTAAATACTTCATTATCACAAAAGAAGTTGTCACTCGTTCGTCAATTTGCACTTGTAACTTACAAATTGATCATACCTTGTAAGATTTTGAATAATGGTTGTAAATATAATTGTTGACAATGTTTTATGAATTTTTGCACACAAATTTTGTGGTATTATTTTTTAAAATTTATAACAAATCATTCACACGAATACATTTTTTAATTATTATATTTTTTCTTAATAATTAATATAAGTAAAGGCTTATTAATCTATGTTCTATTGACTATATTTGAGATGGCCTTGTACCTTCTCATTCTTACTAAGGCACCGACACCTCCAACTAGTAGAAGAATCAAAACAATCATCAAACTCATATTTGATGCAACTTATATGTCCTTATGTAGTTATTATAGTTTTATCACACCACAATCTATGGTAACAAATTATCACTATTATTACCGAGTAGCAAAAATTATGATGATTTTTGTAGCATTTCGGGTCATTAATAATGCTATGATACCCTACTTTGACAATATGGTATCTACACTTAGCAATAACAACATTAGTGATGAAGGGCTATGCTTTTGAGTTAATCACGAGAAGAAAAATATTCAATTATTTTAGGATACTTATGATAGTCTATTGTATGTCAATTGATATCAAAGTCTGTTTCACATTAATTGATATTATAGCTTGGTATCAAAACCCATTTTACATCACAAATTCAATGACTTGAACTTCTTGAAAATTATCAAAGCTCATATCCTTCTTAAAGAAATTATTTTACATTTTTATTAAAATTGAACACTTCAACATCACAAAGAGAGTTGATACTTGTTAGTCAATTCACACTTGCAATTTACAAGTTAACCATAGCTTGTAATATTTTTTATGATATTTTTAAAAATAATTATCAATGGTATTTTATAAATTTTGGCACACAAATTTCATGGGATTACTTTTTAAATTTATAGCATATTATTGACACAAATATATTTTTTAATGATTATATTTTTTTCTTAATTACCAATAGAAGTAAAGACTTATCGATCTATGCTTTGTTAATTATAATCAAGATAGGTACGTTCTCATTCTCACTAGTGCATCGACACTTCTAACTAGTAAAAGAATTAGAAGAATAATTAGACTCACATTTGAAGCAACTTATATATTCTGATGTGGCTATTATGGTTTTGCTACATCTATGATAAAAAGTTATAATCAACATATATTGTTTTTTGAGCAAGTCATGAGGAGAAAAATCTCCAACAATTTTAGAATACTTACGGTATCCCATTTTTCTTTCCATTTTACATAAGTTGGAATTAAAACCTGGTTTCAAAGTTCGTTTTACATCAATTGATATAAGAGCTTGGTATCAGTACTTGTTTCACACTACACATTTCATAACTTGGAGTTAGTTGAATATTATCAAAGCTCAAATATCCTTTTTAAAGAAATTATTTTATATTTTTAAAGATTTAATACTTCAACATTACAAAAGAAATTTTCACTTGTTAGTCAATTTCCACTTACAACATACAAGTTGACTATACTTTGTAATATTTTGGGCAATAGTTGTGAACATGGTTGTAGATGATGTTTTATGAATTTTTACACGTAAGTTTTATGGTATTATTATTTTTAAAGTTATAGCATGTCATTCACACGAATACATTTTATAATTATTATCTTTTTTTTTTCAATTACCAATATAAGAAATAGCTTAGTGATCTTTGTTTTGTCGACTGTACTCAAGATGTCCTTGTACCTTCTCATCCTCACTAGAGCACCGACATTTTCAACTTGTAGAAGACTTAAAACAATCATCAGACTTATATTTGATGTAACTTATTACTTATATACTCTTATCCAGCTATAATGGTCTTGCTATACTACGATTTACCATAATGAATTATCATTATCATTACAAAGTGGTAGAAATTATAATGGTTTATGGAGTATTTTGGGCTGTCAATTATGTAATGACTTCCTAGTTTGACAAGGTGTGCTTACTCTTACTCCTAGCATAATAGCATCCGTAATGAATGGCTTTGTTTTTGAGTAGGTCATGGGGAGAAAAACCTTCAATCCTTTTAGGATACTTGCAATAGCCTATTTCAGATCAATTGATATCAGAGCCTGTTTCACACCACATATTTAATGACTTGAACTTTTTGATGATTATCAATGCTTATATTCTTTTTAAATAAATTATCTGTATTTTTTTTTAGAATGAATACTTCAACATCACAAAAGGCATTGTCACTTAGCTTGTTAGTCAATTTGCATTTGCAACTTACAAGTTGATTATACCTTTTAATTTTTTGCATGATAATTGTAAATATGCTTGTTGATGGTATTTTATGAACTTTTACATATAAATTTCATGGTATTATTCTTTTTTAATTTATACTCTCTCCGTTAAAAAATGTAAGGTATTTTTAACCAAATCTCACCTCCAATAAAGTAGTTACCTACTTTCCAACTAATTCTATCTTTTCATATTTATCCCTATTAAACACCCTAAAATAAACATAAAGTCATTATTAATAGGGGTACTTTTGAAAAAAGATAATGATTACACATCGAAAGATTAAAAATGCCTTACATTTTTGAACATTCAATTCCTCAAAAAATGCTTAATATTTTTGGATAGAGGGAGTAGCATATTATTCAAACGGATATAATTTCTAATTATTATCTTTTTTTGTCAATTACTGATATGAGCAAAGGCTTATTGATCCATATTGTGTTGGCTGTATTCAAGATGGCTTTGTTTTTTCTCATTCTCACTAGGACATCAACACTTCCTCCAACTAGTAGAAGAGTCAGGATAATGATCAAACTTATATTTGATGAAACTTACATTTTCTTGTGTGGTTGTTATGGTTTTTTTGTACCACAATCTATGTTGCGATTTAAGTGGCCAAATATTATATTTTTTTATACATTTAAATTATAGAAATAAACTTATTCATAAATATAATTATTACAATTTACGTGAACTTCTAAAAATAAGTTACATTTTTAATTACTTGTAATCTACATTAATTGTTCTGTGTATTCAGAATTGAGATCTCTAATCATTACAGTAATTTTTTATTTAAATATATTTTTATATTTATAAAAATAACTTTATTCATAAATATAGTTATTACAATCTACCTTAACTTTTAAAAATAAGTTACATCTTAATTACTTGTGATCTACATTATTTGTCCTATGCATTCAAAATTCAGGATATCTAATTATTGCAATGATTTTATTTATTTAAATATATTTTTATATTTATAGAAATAACTTTTTCATAGATATAGTTATTACAATTTACCTGAACTTTTAAAAGTAAGTTACATCTTGGGTACGTTATTTGTCCTATGTATTCAAAATTAATAATCTCTAATTATTGCAATGATTTTCTTTATATATATATATATATATATTATATTTACTATTTATATAGTTTATGTAATATGATGATGATAAATATTTATTAATCAAATAAAAATATAATTCTTAAATTTTTCCCAATGAATTAACTTTTATATTTTAAATAAAAAAATCTAAACTAGTTGTTTAAAATATAATTATATTTTAATTTTGATAAATACATAAAAGGTGAAGGGTGAAGGGTGAAAGTATATTTTTATTTTTAAACTGTTCTACGTGAAGCACCAAGTGTTCTACGTTATTTGTTATAGCAATTTTGTTTTTAAAATAATTAAATATAGCTCATTTGCCTTTAGCATTAAATATCCAACATTGATCGATAAAAAGTTGGCTATATTTAAGTTTGACTAAAAATGTTGCCTATTATATCAAGTAGATTTAATTTAAGATGTACTTTTATTACGTTTTAATTATTTTAAAGTTAAAATTGTTATGACACAAATAGTTTAGTTTATTAGGTGTTTCTTGAAAGTAATTCAATAAAAAAAGTACACTTTAGCTTGGATTCACTTAACATGACATATAGTATTTTTAGTGAAATTTTAAGTCGCAATCAGTATTTTTAATAGTGAATGTTGATATATTTAACATCAAGGGTAAAGATATTAAAAAATATTTTAGAGATAAAATTGCTGTGATGACTGTTGGTACTTCTCAGAAATCAAAATAATTTAAAAATAAAAATGAAGCTTAATCAATACCTAAGTAGCATCTAAATTTTTTTTTTTTTAATAAATAGTTGACTCGGGACTATTTCATCTAGTTAGTTTTCTCCGTCAACCAAAAAAAGCCGTTTCCCGCCTTTCAGCAGCAAAGAGAAGAGAGAGTGCCTTTCATCGTTGAGATCCCAGAACCGGAGACTTCTTCTGCAAATTCAGGAAACAAGAAATGGCAATCGGGCGCGGGAAGAAGAAGGGTGAAGTATGCAAGGAGCCAATACCAAATCCAGAAGCTGCAGAGCGCTTGAGGCTCAAAGGATTGGCCTTCTCTAATGGAATACTTTCTGGAACCCCAGCCAATGCCTCTCTTCGTCTCAATCCTTCAAACACTGTGCTTAAGCATCCCGGCAAAGACATTGTCAAGAAATTCCAGCGAAGGAACAAGTTCCTCTTCTCATTTCCAGGTCACATTGCTCCCATCGGCCGCGGCGGCAAGATCGGTGACCTCAAGGATTTGGAAAAAAAAAACCCCGTTCTCTACGTCGATTTCCCTCAGGTTTTTTCAGCTTTTTCCTTCAACGCATTTTGAAGTTTCAGTTAATTTATTTGCTGTGTTTTTGGTTCCCAAGCGTCATGAGAATTATGTCAAGGTTGGGGTATGATTATGAAAGCGGAAGTCGTAACATGGACATTAACTGGACTGCCAATTGTCTCATCCTTAAATTTGAATCACTATTATCGTTGCAAGTTTACAGTATGAACGCACCTGCTTTCTTATTTTCAAGCGCATGTTAAGATGGCCGTCGATTGATTTGTGCATGTTCCTATAAGCTTTTTTGGTTGGTCTAAGTCTCGGTGATGTTAGATGGAAACCAGAGTGTAAAAGAAGATATATGTTTTTCATTGATTATATTTTTTTTATAATTTTGGAGCATCTTGAGCACTCTATAAATCTGAGAAGTGCGAATTTTTGATTTTTTTTTATTTTTATTATTACAGTGGATCATCTGATCTGATGCGCATTTACATTTTTTCAGGGCCAAATGAAGTTATTTGGAACCATCTTATATCCAAAGAACAGATATCTAACTTTGCAGTTTTCTAGAGATGGAAAGAACGCAATGTGCGAGGATTATTTTGACAATATGGTTGGCTTATTTCCCTTCCTATACGCTTGTTTCTTCTTCACGGCTCTTTCTGTGCATGTGTCACTATTAACTCTATGAGCTCTGATTACGGAAGTTAATCAAAACAAGCTGAGCATTCTGATTTGGATTCAACATGAAAAAAAGGTTGTAAACCTGCTGCTGTAGACATGATTTATGCTTGCAACCATTAGTCGCCAGATTGCATCTTCTGCAATTTGCAGTTATCCCTCCCCAACACCCATCTCGGCAAGGGTTCATGAATGTAGTAATTAGGAATGCTTTTGAGAGTCTGATCGCTGATATCTTTTCCCTACCAAATCAGAAAGACATTATTTTTGTCAATTTTGTGATATGTATCCCAATTGCAGCTTTTATTCTTGTACCTTTTGGTACATATAGGTTTAATAACTATGCATTTTTTCTTTCCCCCATCCTCTTTTGACTTATTGTTCCTAAACTAAAAATGACGCGCTATCATTCCATGCAACCTCTTCACACCCATGTCCGTTATTCACAGTATCTAGATTTCAGATTGTATTTTCAGATGCATGGTGGATTGGGAGGAAAGATGAAAACCCTGAAGAAACCAGACTTGAGTTTCCAAAGGAACTGTACGAGGTAAACATTGTTGATCAATGACCGTTTCATGGCTTTGTAAGAACCAGCTTTTTGTTTATCTCGTTTGGAATAATGAATAATGGGAATAAGACCTTTTGGCCTGATTTTCTTTTTTTCTTTTTTATTTTTTTGCTGCTTCCAGGGACAGCAAACTGACTTTGAGTTTAAAGGTGGAGCTGGTGCAGCACCTGTAGTTATTCAACGTGCTGCCAAAATCAAGATGGAGCATGCAAAGAAACAAGAAACACCTACTGAAACTGGTCTGTCAGAGAGACAAAACATCTTGAAAGATACAATGGAGGTGGTTCCAGTTCATCATTCGGATAGAACCGCTGGAAAAGCTTACAAGTATTAGCCTTTTCTATATTAATTTACCTGATAAGAGATGATTTCCTGCAATGAATTAAGAGAAATTTATATTTCTGGAGGTAATAAGGCATTACTCACTTCGGTTATTATTATAAGACATCTTCAACTCTTTCACACATATCAAGAAAAGTTATTTTTTTTTTTCCTTTGATATCATAAAAAAGGAGGATGTACATTCAGTTTTACCTTCAACTTTGAATAATAATGTAACTACATTAAATACCTTCGCGCTAATCAAGAAAAGGTAAAATTTTTTTAAAAATCATTTAGTTATTACAAGATGTTCTGTATTTTGAACCAAAAATTATTTCTGAAATGTGTTTTATAAATAGGACTGGGGGAAATATGTCTTATATGCTGATTAAGTGATTGATCTAGTTTACCTATCAAAATACACCAATGTTATTTCTTTTTTTAGTGAGGCTTCTTAGTGATTAAACTGGTCTGGCTGGCTTAAGTTGAAATTTGTCATCTGAGACGGAAACACATATTCATTTTTTCTATCGCTTCAGATTTGCAGAAATTTCTTCTGGTTTGGACAGCCCTGATGTTTCTGTACACAAAAAAGCGGTGAAAGCTAAAACTGCTGTGAATAATCATAATAGTTTAAATATCCTTATAATTGATTTGATGGCTCTCTAACATTTTTCTCTTTTGGATTTTATTTTGAGCATTGATGTCTTTGCTTGCCAACTTACCTGGAACTTCAGAAATATACTCACATTCTGTGTTTTTGGTGCACCTCTATGTTATTAACCTTAATTCGTAGATACAGAAAGAAAATCCATATGCTCTTGCAGTTGATATTGATCATGATGTCACTTTAAGAGAAACTCAACTCCTCCAGAAGAATAGAAAGTATGCTTCAGGAACAAAGTCCAAGAAACTGTTTCAATGTTCTTTGATGACTCCATCTATAGAAGTCTTGTTCCGTAATCGCGGTTCACTTGTTCCGGCTACCATACCCGCATTGTTCAAGAAAGTGGAGGAACAGGTAAGCTTGCAGAATATTAACATGGATATCAAGTGCAAAGTAGCTGTGAGAAAAAATGTTAGGACGGTTCACATCTCTTGCATTTTTTTACGAATTTCTACTATTTTCATGTCAACGTTAAGTGAATCTTTAAGTACAAAACAACGCTATGGTAAATTTAAGTTAAAGATTTTCAGATTGTACGCACTGGGGCATCTAAGATCTATGATGTTTTAAGGTTTTAGTGGTTTAAATATCGGATGACCCAAAAAAAAAGGGGGGGGGTGTTAAATATCTGAAGGAAATAACTGACTTCTTTTTTGCCAATGGAAAAAGCTAACCTCTTGCGATGGTTTTCTGAGCCAGTAAGCTAACCTTGTACATTACAATGTAGGCCGACAATGATGACATTGAAGAATTTTCGAGTACTTCAAAGGTGAATATTGATTGTTGTTGAGATCTCGCATGCTAGCTCTCATACACATTCACCCTAGTGGCTACAAAACTATTTTTTCATAGTTGATAATTTACAGCAGTAGTCGACATTCTTAACCAGATATTTTACTGATTGCATTTATATTTGTTTTATATAGGAAACTGATGGAAGTGATGAAGACTGGGCTCATTGAGAGTGTGATGTCCCTTCCCTCGTTAAAATGGTTGAACTGTAATGACTTTCCTGAACATGCCTCGCTCTATCTTCATAAATATAATGGGGGGAAAATATGCCATTGTAATCAGGAGATAGAATGAATTTCTTGTAGGTAACGTTTATATTGGTCTATTTGGGTAGACATTTTAGATTTTAATTCTCACATTTATTTAAAATTCTTTATTTAAATAATATAACAAATTTTAAATTGAAAGATAATAGAAAAGGGAGTTGTGAAATGAAAATGGAAAGAGATGAGAGGATTAGAGTAGTTAAAATTTTAAATAATTAGAATGTAGGAGGAATTTGAATTCACGAAGGAATTATAATAAAATATGGATTTATATTTGGATCCAATTTAAATTCATAATTTTTTGTAAAGTTAAATAGTAGATTAGTTCACAGTTAAATCTCTATATATCCAAATGCAGCATTGACGTTTCCTTTGGTCGATATTACAAGAATTAAAGATTGAGAGACTTACTACATTTTGATTGAGGCACTTGGTCGTTATTACAAGAATTAATGAGGGATTTAGTCCTTTTTTAAAGGACACGTTCTTTTCTGCTACATATTTAGTGGAATTTGAGCTCGATTTCTTATGACTTAATTTTTGTTGAGAGATCTCTTGAGAAAATTTAGCTCGATTTAGTCCCCACTCTAGTTGTAATTCCAAAGAAAGATCAGATGAATATGAAATTAATCTGTGTGATTAGAGGATTAAAATGAAATTAACTTTACGCGCAAGATGATGAAAATGCTCTTTGCTTATTTAAATAAAACATCCTTCTATCAACAAGTTATAGTTTAAATTTTGACAAGTCAAAAATTTGAAAATGCTTAACTTTAAAAAACAATTTGTCAAGATTTGAATTACAGCTTGTTAAAGGTCAAATTATGACTTTCTGTCAAAGGACCAACAACTACTAAAGATGACAACTTGTCAAAATCTAAACTATAACTTGTTAAAATTTGTTGTTCAATGGGTGATTTTTTTTTAAATAAAAAAATGGTTTTTTCATTGGTTTGTGCATAAAGTTATTTCAGTAATTTCAGATTCTTTTAGTATTTTTTGAAATTAAATCCCTTGGTGGGATTTTGATGGAAATTTACTTTGTTGACTGGGAAATTATTGAAGTTGGTGACTGTCAATTTTCCCTTGGTGGAAGAAGATAGGCAAAAGCTAATCCGCAGCAATAATATCATATTCATCGACATTTATATCATGTTTAGAGAAAGCAAATTTGAAATCAAAGTCTTCTGGAAACCCCAAATCACAGAGTGCAACCTAAAACTAGTGTACATATGCTCTGATATATCTGCTTTATAACATTGTTTCATTCATCATGTTTTAGTTGCTTCACCTATATTGGTACCTGTAATATCTTTAAATTCAAAGTTCATAATTAAGAAAGGTGATGCCCTGCAGATTGACAGACAATGTTGCATAAGATGTTGATCCCAAGCCAAACTTTGCTTCTAGGAAACTAGAAACTTATCAACCCTTTCATTTGTTGCCCTGGACAAGAACTTCATGCAGATTGGGGGCTTAATCCCAGCAAGAGCAAGTATTGAAGCAGGCAGAGTCCATATTCCGTCCCCACATATCAAACCAGAAGCTACTGCTGGCCCGAAAGCATCTGCTTTGGCCTTGTTTACCTTTTGCCAAACGAACAATATCAGACTTCCTACACACATGCCAATGGCACAGAATGGCCCAATGTAGAAAGGTATGGCCATTGCAGTTGGAGATGGCATGAACCACCCTCTGTGTCCCATTAAATCTTTAGTCAAATTTATCAGAATGGCAGAGCCGAAGAATACACAACACAGCAGGAGACAGTTCTTTGGCAGAGTTGAGAAGCCGTCCGCACCTTCGATGGCCATGTTCCGGTACAAAATTGCATATGGAGTGGGGTATTCACTTTTAGGAGTCCCAATGTCATCCAATGCTTTGTAAAGCACCCAAAAGACACAAGGAGAGATTACACAACCCATTGTTGTGCCAATTATTTGGCTCACAAACATCGAGCGTGGAGAAGCCAGGGTCATGTACCCTGTTTTGAAATCCTGCATGAGGTCAGAGGCTGTGGAGACTATATTCATCATCACTCCACAGGCTTCTAGAACCGCAAGAACCCCACCATTTGATGCTCCGGCCCATGCTCCAATTATAAATATGGCAAGCTTTCCATAGGTGGATGCAAGTGACCAGTCTGTTAGTCCACAACCATAAGCATTACAGAATGATAAGGTTGGAGCTAGAAGGTAGATAACCAGCATGTGGTACCATTTTAGCTGGTGAAAGATGTATGGAAGAATGGCTACAGAGACAGCAGAAATTGAAACGTATCCTGCAACTGCACACCATGTGGGGATTTGATCTTTGAGAAAGAGTTGGGTGCGGCGTTGGAAATCAGAAGATTGATTAGGACTTGAACAAGAATTCTGATCTGCAACAGGAAGAACATTCTCTTTTTGTTTGCCTCGGATTTTTTGGTACGTGGCACAGAGGGCATGGCCTAGCACTTTGAGTAAGTTATATGAACCATCTCCCAGGATCATCGATATGGTTATGAATATCTGAAACCAAGGAAAAATACATGGCAGGTAAACAGAGGGGCAAGAGGGTATAAGCAGCAATTATATGCTTTACACCATGAGACTTACCTTGTAACCTTGAAGACCTCGAATGCTGCTGACTTCAAGGTCTGCGGGATACCAGTCACCCTTTTTGTTTTCTATGAGAGGCCACATTAGTCCCCAAGAAAGAATTCCTCCTGAGAGCATTGATATATTAATGATACGTGGGCAAATCATTCCCACTCCAATGTAGATTGTGGAGAAATCAAAGTAAAAGCTGCAAACGAGGAGCGGCTGGAATGAGCACTTCTGATGGTTTAAGATGGTGCTGAACTTTAATATTTGTCAATCTCAAATTAAATGTATGTGATCAGTAACAATGAAGGAGATGTGAGGACATACCGGTGCTTGTAAGCTTTGAGCCCCAGGGAAGGGAAGGCTTGAAATCCACAGTGATCAGAAGCTACATAGAACCATTGAAAGAAACCCCATAAGAAACTAAAAATGCAGAATTTACCCAACACTCTCACATGCTTCCTGGAGGAGCAGAAAAGAAACATTGAATTAGTTTGGATGTGTGACTTTTCGGGCGGTCAAACATAAAATTTCAGAGTCTTATTTTTTTTTTAAAAAAAAAACAGTGCACACTTGGCTAATTTGGCTCCTCGAGGAGTATGAAAGCTGTTGATTAGGTGAGCAGCTGCAGTGCCACTTGGATATGTCAAATTGAAGTCAACGATCATTATCTGCAATAAAAGGTAAAGGATGAAAATTAGCAATATTTGTAAGCCATAAAGCGTCACCTTTTTAACCCAATTTCCTTCGCCCAATTCAGGCCAGGTCTACAAGCTGCATGTGTAAATCTTGCAACAAACATTGAAAAGCAATAAGCGGAGAAGAGGTTTCTGGAGTTATCACAGACCTGCTTGGGCAGGCAAACCAAACTGAAGCTGGGCAAATTGATGGGTTCAGATTCCAATGTGAGCTTCAGGGATGACAAGGATGGAGGAGAAGATAAGGAAGGATGGGTTAATAATTTAAAGGGAAAATTAATCTTTTGTTTTTAACTCGCTTGAAAGTCCTTCAAGGATTTGAATTGAGAAAAATTGAATATGAAAAAAATTAATTAATAGAGTGTGACGATGTATGAATAATATTTTTTAAAATTGATTTTGATAATTTAAAAATGTTTGGAAAATATTTTCAGAATCAATTTTGAATACAAAAATTACAATAAAGGACATTCATTTTTATAATGAAATATTAATAAAATTAACCTATGTAAAAAATAAATCAATGTATTAACTTGAAGTAAATTTAGTTACATGTATACTAAATATCAATTATGATACTCTCGAAACATGATGGCACATAGCACTTAATTATGCTCCGAGATCTCAATGCTGCCCTTGGGTTCTAGAATTGATTCTAGAGATTATCCAAACAGGCTTCAAACATGATTTGGTGCAACTCCCTTCCTAAACTTTTGACTTGTCCCTAATCTTTTCATCATTTTACATTTTTGCTCCCGTCATCCAAAATTCATCTGAGTCATCTTATACAGCAAAAATTGTTAATAAAAGTGATAAAATTCCTGATCTATTCTTCCAACTTAATTCCTCACAGCTTTTTTAGTAAAACTTTAAAAAAATATTGCTGTCGAAGACAGTTGAAGTGGAAAAGGGGCGTAGGTTTCACCCGAGACAAACAAAGAAGAAAAGAGCATTACATGAGGAAAAGAATTAAAATAGTAAATTAACTCTTAAATTATAAATTTAAGAATATTTATGATCTTAAACTTATGTTTTATATAATATTTTCCTTTAATTTTTGAAAACAGTACAATTTAACCTCTATTATTAATAAAAATTAACTTTAACTATTAAATGATCAGAAAATGATAGAAAATAACTTTAAAAATTACAAAAAGAATCAAACTGATCCTTTTGTATAATTTTTGGGTCATTGCATATATTTTCTGTTATTCTTTTTTATAATTTTTAAAGTTTTTTTATGATCAAGTTAGGGACAAGATTGTATCACTTTTTTAAAGTTAAAGGAAACATTGTAAAAAAATAAATTTAGAATTTCAGATGCTCCCACTTCTATAATTTAGACAGGGAAAAATCTGAACTACAAAAAATGTGAGCAATGAACTCAGCACAGCTACAGAGACAAAAAGAAAAGCAGAACAAGGAAAAGACGCCGCTGCAAATAGGGCTCCTTTCAGTTCACATTCACATTAATTCACAATACATATAATATGTTAACCAATTTGTCATCATATGTGAGCATTCTCATAAGCTTCTTGAGCATCCCATGGGATTTTGGGATTCTGAATTCTGAACAACAAGATGAAGATGGAGAAGATTCACCATGAAAATGAAAAGTTTCTTTTTTTTTTTCAATTTATAAAACATTAGTTTCATTTCTTCTCTTCTTGATTGATTATTTGATGTGGCAATAATTCAGGGAATACAAGAATAAGCTTTTTTGAGGATGAAAATAAAAAAAGCAGGGACTTTTACGTGAGTTAATAGTCGGAACGAAGTTTTAACTTTAAAGTGAGTTACAAACATCAAAATGATTAATTTTCCATGATTTTAAATTATTTTGATATAAATTTTAATGAAAATAAATATTTTAGAATCTTAATAAAATGTTCTTGACAAAATCAAAACCAAAAAATATGTTAAGTTGTAACTTCTGAAAATAAAAGAAAAGTTGCTATAATTTCAGTGAGATTCAGGGGGTAACTATAAAGCCTAAAGCCACAAGGTGAATCTGCAGGTTTTCTTATTTCAGAAAAATATTTAAATTATTATAATAAGATATTATTAAAATAAATATATTATTAAAATAGTGATTCGATAATTATCAGTAACCGATCATGACTAGTTAAAATGATATTTTGGTGTTTTATATGGATAAGAAATAACAATTACCTCTTTAAATTTATTTATAATTTAAGAGATGTAATTGGTATTAATTTTCTTACAAAGTATTTATTTGTAATTTTTATCTTTTTTTTTGTAATTTTGATATCCTTTTGTATTATTCTTTGTCAATTAATAGTTAAAATTAATATTCATAAATAGTAAAATTACTCTATTTTCAAATGTTAAAGGCAAAACACAAAAGAATTTTAAGATATTGTATGCTTTTGGACTTATAGTTTAAAAATAAAATTCTCCTTTAACTCTTTAATTATGGGTAAAAGTATATTTTTTTCTAAAAATATTCTTCGAGGAGCATGTAATATCTTAAATTATTAATGAAAGCAATTTTGGCCCTAAAATAATTAAAACAAATTATTTTTGCCTTTGCAGTCAAATTCCCAACGCTAATCATTAGAAAATACTAGCTAAGACTCTCCAATGTTGACTATCAAAAAATTTAACAGTAAGGACAAAAATACTATATTTTAATTATTTTAAAAGTAAAATTACTCTCACCAATAATTATTGGATGCTCCTTATAGAATTATAGAATATAACAGAACCTAATCGTTATTAATGGTGATTGCACTGAATACATAGAAGGCAGTTGATACTCCAATCAAAAGTTTAAATCTTGTAGAGAGAAAAAAAAAAAAAATCATGTTGGGAGAGCTATTCTCAAATAACTCCACAATATTTGAAAATGCTATTATACTACCTTCATTTTTATTTGTATGAACGGTTTAAAAAAATTATTTAATTATATTAATTGTGTTTAAAAATAAAAAATTAAACTAAAATATCCTTTATTTAGGCCTTCATTAATTTTTTTTATGACTATGAATGATGAAATTATGAGATATAATTTAAGAAATTGGTAATAAATGCAAATTAAAAAATATAATTTTATTTATATAAAAAAACTAAAAGTATTAGTTTCTTCTGTAAATAAAACTGATGGAAGTACTATCATATACTATCAAATTATAGAAAAGTAAAGGAAAAAAAAACTGTTATGAATAATAATGGATGAGAAGAAAAGGGGAAGCAACCATCACACATTTTGTAGAGGCACGGCCGAGAAGAGGCCACGGAAGCTAACAGCAAAGAGAAATATACTTTCACTCACTTGTGTTCGAAGTTTTCTGGGCTATACTTTCACTCATTCCGATGAGATAACTCCCAAATCGTCCTGTTTCCACATTTTATATCACTTGTACATTGCCACATCAAACAACGTAATTAAAGAAACTTTTGAACAAATTCAATCATATATATTATGCTAATTAACAATAAAAAATATTTTATGGGACATGTTTTGATTGGATAATGTGATAATGGATACTTAAAAACCATTCCTCCCCCCCCCCATATTTATGGAAAAAGAGTTTAGGTTATTTGGGTTCTAAAACTTATCAGAATAGACCATGCTTTTAAGTTTAAAGAGATATTCTTTCTATTCTTATTTATAAGTTAATTTTATTATTTTCACTAAAATCAATGAAAAACTTAAATTTTATTAACCCTATCTAAAAATTCAGTAAGTTTCTAATTTTGTTCATATTAAATACACCTACTTTAAAAAATACATTGTTATTTAATAACTTTCCTAATATTTAACAGGAGCAAAATGATAAAAATTGATATAATAATCATTGAAGTATCTTATAAACAAGATAAAAATAAATATCTTATTTGTGCCTTTTAAATAGAACTAGAGGAATGTTTATAGATTGCTTACCAATATTTAGAGTTATGAGCCAAATCCTTACTAATTAAATCAATTAGTTTCAAATTTAATCGTTGTAGAAATGGAAAAAGTGCAAATCTATTCTAGCATGAGATTCGTTACTCATTTTGTATTCTAAGATCACTTTAGAAATCAAATAGATATGAAGAAATGAATATAATATTTGGCATGTAGAAAAGTATTTTTAAAAAAGGAAATGAAAAATCAACTCATTCTATTTTTTTTATAAATACATTTTTCATTTTTCATTTTTTTTAAAAAATACTTTTCTTCATACTCAACATAATCTAAAGCCTAAAGGTTATAAAAGAGAGATGCACACTGAGAGAAGTCATTACCACTAAAAGCTATGCCGGAGGAGGCAACCACACAGGTCTGGATGACAGTATTCTCCTGCCTTGTAAATGGCTGCCTTAACATGCCTGACTTATCCAACAACTTAGTCCAAGCGTTCACAAAAAGGAAACCCAACAGCCCAGCACAAACGTTCAGTGAAGGTATAATCCAATGGTGAGGTTCAGTTTCATCACTATGAAACAGAACAGTACACTCAGCGCAAAGCTCACCACAAAGGCCCTTATGGTTAACTGCTTTCTCCATGATGGCACCTCTTGATTCTGGAACACCTTCTCCACACAAAGCTCTTCTTTTTCTAATTCCATGCCCTTCTTCTTGTGATTCTGCTCTTCAGTTTGAGCCATCTCTGTGTGTGTGTGTGTGTGTGTGTGTGAGTGTTTAGAATCTTGAGATTGTATGAAGGGGTTTGGAATCTTTTTAGGGTATGAATCCTACTGAGAAGTTTAGTTAGAGTTGAAAGATAGTGCAAACGGTTCATTGACTATCTATTGAAGAATATCAACATCAACAAGTTGGAAGTGTGTTTGAATGGGACAAGAAATTGATGCCCCGTAAGACTCAGTCAATAGCACAATTGGAAAATTTTTAAGCGTCGTAATGGAATTGAAATATCCATATTTTCCAAGACCTTCAATCAATTTAAAAAAAAAAATGACAATATTTGAGTTGATTATTTGTTGATATTTGCCTATATCAAAGCGCGTAAATTGGTGGTTGAAATTTGTATCTGAGAAAAGCTGAGTGTTTGGCCTCCTTGGCTCTTTGTCAACATCAAAGAAAAGATAGAGGTTTATTGGAGAGAGAGTAATAATTATAGGTCTCAACAAATTAAATTAATAACATTTAAGTTTTCAATAAATATTATTATTTTT